CGCAGTGTTGCACCGATTGCCACGGTTTGGGTTTGTTACTCCAAGCAGTTGTGGGCTTGGGAATTTCCTCCTTTCACCTCTGTGTAATTAGCTTGCAAGCCTTCTTCCCTGCTTCCAATGTCCATTCCCTTCTTTGCTGAGCTCTGGGAAATGAGGATGGTGCTAGAGGCTGTAGACAGGTGAGATGTATCACCAGGGAACACCTGGTGACTGGGAAATGACAACCCCTCAGAAAGGGGGTGAGGAGAGAAAATAAGGATTGTCCCGAAGCAAAACACACATGGACAATTCTTTAGGTCTCCTCTTCCTGCTCAGCGTGCCTGCAAACTGAGCTTAAAATATAAAGCAGAAAAGTCAACATCAACGTGCTCAAAATCCTAGTGACAGCTTTAGGCCTAGGACTAGAAGGAGAAGAAAAAATAACGCAAGTACAAAGGGTGTTTATGAGACTAAATGTTCTGGATGTGTTTACCACTTCTCTGCATCTCTGCCAGTCTCGGCTCCCCTGTTCAGGAGGCTGCTTTGGGCTTGGGGAGTTTCGGAGCCAAGCGCATCCTTTAATCCGGGCCCTTCCGTCCCTTCCAGGTCCTTCCCACGCGTTCAGTGGGGGACACCAGGGGTCCGAGGGCCCTTTGCCCCCGCGATGGAGACGTGGTTGTTTATTCTGCAGGTCAGAGCCCAAGGGTGCCCAGGCAAGGCCGGTGCCATCCCGCTGGGGCCTGACCAGAGGCTCCCTAAAAGGGGCCTCGGTGGAGGGACAAGGAGGAAGACAGGAACGAGCAGAAGGAGGGACACAAAGAGATAAAGTGACTTGCTTGAAGAGATCTAGTGATTCAGCTACACAGAGGATCTCAGGCTGCAAGGTCCTGCTCGCATTCCTCATCCTCTGCTTGTAAAGGCTGTCAATAATGTGACCATTATGGGCTCCTGCTTTATTGAATCTCTCTGCACTTTCTGATTCCAGGAAGGCTCTGGGGTAGCACTAGCTCTGTCTTGCTGAAACCAGAAGTATCAGATTCTCAGAAAGAGACTCGTCATCCAAGGTTTTCAGACCCAAACTATTTAGAAAAGGATTTTTTGTCTGTTTATCTGAACTCAGAATGAACTGCTGAACATTTGAGGGTTTTTTTTTTCCCTAATAAAAACATGGTTTTGAATCACTGAAATATTCTGCAGCATAAATATGGCCTTCAAAGTGAGCAGAGGTGCTCGTGCTTTCCCGAGACATGTTTTGCCTGGAGTCAAGGCTAAATGTTACTCTGAGCTCATAGTCAAGGACGCTCAAATCCTGCAAATTGATCCTGGGCAGTTTCTGCCCTTTTCTTGGCTCATGGGAAGTTGCTGTGTCTCTTGCAGCCGAAGTAGGAGCATTCACTGGAATCTCCAGTCTGTGAAGTTTGTACCCAGATCCGAACCCTTTTCCGTGTCCTGCCCGGGATGGTGGTGGGGGAGCAGTGACCCTGTTCTCCGGGGTCATTTTTGCTGCCTGTCCCCTGGGATGGCAGTTCCCACTCCAGCCCCTGTGTGTGGCTCTCTGGACCCTTAGCCCAAGTGACAGCGTTGCCCTCTGCCCACCATCCCTGGCCCTGCATCCGGGCAAGGTTTCCTGGGTGGTTCATGGTCTCCTGAAGTGCCACTTGCTTGACACTGGCCAAGATTGGGCATCTTCTGCCCCATAAATCTGCAGCAAAGTCGTGGCAGACGTCACAGCAGCAGCAGATGTGGAGATACCCAAGGCCATGGCGCTGTCACCGTGCTTTGCAAAAGGAACTTGTCACCCATGTGCGCAGTTTCAAACCCGAAGGAGGAGAAATACTTTCCTTGTCTTAGTTCTTAAGGTTTACAAAAACAACCAACCAATCCTCCCTCATTTGACAGAAGGGAAATCTACCACTTTGGAAGTACTCTGCATCGTTCCGATACCAGCATTTGGTTTGTTAACTCTTCTTTGCTATGAAGGAAGTTACATTTCTCAACACAACCCTCATCTTTTCAGAAAAAAATGAAATTTCCTTTTCTGAGAAGGTCACAACAAGACATCACAGCAATTTTAAAGCTTTGTCGCAACTTCATTTTCTTCCAGCCAACAAGTCTGATGAAAATAATCCTTGCTATGAAAAATTTTGTTTTGAGCAAATCAATGTTTTGTTTTTCCCAGAGATAAGGGCTCCTGGAAAAATTCCTGTTTGGAGTTGGCTTGAATTTGAACAAAACAACAGTGTCTCCTAGTGGCTGATTCCAGAGGAATGGCTAATTCCATCTTGGCCTTCACGTGTCTCTTCTTGACTCTCCTTTTAGATCTTTGCTCATCCCAGCGTGCGGGAAGCAGGGAATGAGTTGTGCTCTGAGCCTCGGACTGTTTCATAAGCCATAAAAATATCTGTGGCTGTTTTCTGGGCTCCAGTTGCTGTTGAAAGGAGGTAATTGCATTTGAAGGCGGCGTCGCTGGATTCCTGCCTCGTCTGCTGTTTGGCTTCCACTCCGGTCACACCAGAGCTCCCGTGAGCAGCCCGGCCGGTGTCGGGGCTGTCTGTCCCTATCTGCCCGGGGCTGCAGGATCAGGGTCCAAACACCCCTCAGGACAGCAGCCCTGTCACCAAATCAGCTCTGCCCTGCACCTGGAATGAGCAATAAGGGATAACGAAGATCCGCTCGAGGCGCAATGGGTTTGCGGTGTCACGGAGCTGTCCCTTGGCTCGAGCGCTGCATCAGTTAGAAGTGTTGGTGAATCTCATCAGTGCCACATCCTTGTCCTCCGCTTTCCCTCTTCCTCACTCTGCCCTGTCACCAAATCAGCTCTGCCCTGTACCTGGGATGAGCAATAAAGGATAAAGAAGATCCCCTTGAGGCGCAATGGCTTTGTGGTGTCACCAATCTGTCCCTCGGTCGGGCTCGAGTGCTGCATCAGCGGCTCATCAGAAGCGTTGGTGAATCTCATCAGTGCCACGTCCTTGTCCTCCGCTTTCCCTCTTCCTCGCTCTCCTGAGAGGTCACTGCAGCTTTTTTTTTCCTGCTTTTTCTGACAAAGCCAAACTCATGACCCTGGAGAGAAAGCAATAAGGGCTCCAAATTGCCAAAGGGAATTGGCAAATCAATCCAGGCGTCCATATCGGCAGTTAACAGGTTGCAAGCCCAAGTGTTCAACAGGCCACAGAAAAATCACCACACTGGCTTGGGAATTAGGGGATTTTAAAGAATAACAACTTATGCATCCTTCTCGCTTGCCTGAAGATGTTTTTAAGCTTGTCAAGCACAGGCTTTCCAGGTTGGTTGCCAAGTTTTGCAGCAATGATTCCCAAGTTTGTCCTGTCAAATTCACATGATTCCAGGTTTAGGGATTTTTTAAAAAAATCACATGCTATCCTCCTTTTCCTGACAACTTTGTGGTTTTGGTAGCACATGCAGCAAGAGGCAGGAGCATGGGGAGGCCGCTCTGCCTACTGCAGCTGAGACTGCGGCTGTGCCGCAGGGCACCGGGTGCTGCGGGCAGCAAGGGGGACAGAGGAGCTGGGGGACCGGTGCAGAGGTCCGGGGGACCCCTCTGTGCTATTCTGGTGTCATCAGAGGAGGGGACAGGGGACGAGTGCCGATCCGCGGTGAGCAGAGCCCGCCGGTCCCGTGAAGCCGGGAGAGCCGAAGCCGGTGCGGTCTTTCCCCTGATGTCCATTAGTAATTAGCGCATATGGATTCTAATCGGGAGCACTCGGCGCTCTCTCTCCTGGATAAATGGCTGAGCAGAGGAGTCTGTTGCATAAAGTGATTTAGCCCATGAATGATGGCTCATTAGCAGCCCACAGACTGTCGCTACCGATAACGGGGGATATTCAGGCTTTTCCGGGATCCGAGTTAACTCCTTGTGCCGCTCCGCGGAGCATCCGCTGCTGCAGCAGCGCCCCGAGGAGCTGCCAACTATTAACAGGGAGTCTAGTGACAGGTCGAGGATGAAGGAAGCTCTTACCAGTCAGGAGATGAGTCAGATGTGAAAATAACACCTTTTTCTAAACAATATTATTACACCAAGAAAATGAAAAGACTCACTTTCTTTTGCAAAGGAATGGGCCTTGGGCAGTAGAGATGCACATTGCAGAGCCCGCTGCTCTTTGCAGGGATAGCCCCAGTAAGGGGAGAAACCCAGGGTCACTTTGTATTTGTCACCGGTGCCCGTGTTCTGGCCATGAACCAGCCAGACGGTTGGACCGATGCTCCTGCGCTTCCCAGGAAAGGAGCAGTTAAGGTTATACCTGCATAGCCCAAATATTGGGAAGTTTTTTGGTCCTGAGGGTGGCAGAGGGGATTGGAAAGGTCAGTTTTTGTATTTCAGCTGCGTGCAAACCTACACGCTCTGAGAAAACCAGATCACAGAGGGAATCTGGGCCCTGGGGATGAGTCCGGGGCTGTGCTGCTGATGTATCAACAAGATCGCGGGCTTCTTGGGAGCGTTTCCAAAGGCCCTCAGGGGGATAAAACTATTAATCCCACTGACTTTTGCAGATATTAGCTTTCCCAGTTCTCTCAGGATGTGTCTGCAGGAAAGGGACTTTGTGTGGATGCAGCTCCACTGTATTGATAAGGGGCTCCTGCCTTGGGTCCAACAGTACTCGGAAAGCTCCGCTTAGCTACATGTGATAAAAACAGTGTTCCTGGCCAGTGCAAGTCTTCCTATGAGCCCTACAGACCCTGCTACCCATTCACCAGGGTATCTTTGTCTTATTAAAGTGCACGAGCTCTCCTTTGCCTTCACTTTGGTGTGTTGGGCCGCCGCTGTTCTGCAGCCGCTCCAGAAATGGGATCCCATGTTTCCATTTAAATGCCCAGGGACTGTCTGCAAGGCTCTTGCTTGTCTGCTGGTCCCCGTGGACTTTTATCTCTTCTTTGGGAGAAATACAGGAAAATGCAACTTCTGTGCATCATTAGCACAAATCTCAGAGCCCTTCAGAGGAGGGTTATACTAGGCCATTTCCTCTGTATCTGTGTGACTATTTTGCTTTTTTGTCTTGTAGCCGGACGAGTTGACCAATGCCCTGGAGATCAGTAACATCGTCTTCACCAGCATGTTTGCCCTGGAGATGCTCCTCAAACTCCTTGCCTTTGGCCTCTTTGGCTACATCAAGAACCCGTACAACATCTTCGATGGGATTATTGTGGTCATCAGGTCCCTGCCACTTCCTTCTCCCTTGTGGTTTTGCTGCTGAGGGCTTAGACCATTTGGGGAGTGGGACAGGGGACTATGAGTGACCTGGCACGTGTTAACACAGGGCTCGCTGGGTACGATGGGCTATAATTACACTGGCCTTTAAGATTCCTGTCTTTAGAAGGGCCATCCAAAGTAAATGGACCTGGCAGATGGAGAAAAGGTCTATTTACGCCGCATATCTGGCACCGTGGTGAGTTTTCCACTGAAGTGCAGAACGGTCCTGGGAAAGGAGTGCTGTGAGTGTCCGTGTCCCAGCAGCCTGCCCTCCCACCCCTAAAGTGACACCCAACTCAGAGCAGGGCAAGCAGAGGGATAGAAGTTCTGGTGTGTCCCTTTCGAAGGGAACACTGAATGCCAGACTAAACCGGGGGTGGCAGAGCTCGCGTGGGAGAAGCCAGCACTGCTTGTGAAGCTTGAGGGACACCCGTGCCAGCTCAGAGCTGCTGTACAGGCTCACGGTGTTCTCATGTCCCTGCAGCGTCTGGGAGATCATCGGCCAGTCGGACGGAGGCCTCTCCGTGCTCCGGACGTTCCGGCTGCTCCGGGTGCTGAAGCTGGTGCGTTTCATGCCCGCTCTGCGTCGCCAGCTGGTGGTCCTGATGAAGACTATGGACAACGTGGCCACTTTCTGCATGTTGCTCATGCTCTTCATCTTTATCTTCAGGTACCAGGCTGTAGTTCTTGGATTAATCGTTCAGCTCGCTTAAGTAATATGTAGATGACAATGGAGCACGTTTGCGAGGCTGCCTACGTGACAGAAGTGCTCACAATAGACTGACAGGCAGACGTTCAACAGATGATTTTCCTCTTTGCAGTCTCGTTTTTCATGCAATACTGTGATTCCCTCCCTCTCTTTTCCACTCTAGCATTCTCGGCATGCATCTTTTTGGATGCAAGTTCAGCCTGAAAACTGATACAGGAGACACAGTTCCAGATAGAAAGAATTTTGATTCCTTGCTTTGGGCCATTGTGACAGTCTTCCAGGTAAGCTCTGGGTCCTCCCAGAAGTTTTAATATAAGCCAGGTGAACATACTTTTGCTTTAAAAAAAAATATATATATATATATATATATATTCCATTAGATATCCAATTGGGACTCTAATAGCACTATGGAGCTTTTAGGACAGAGTGACTGTCTTTGTGACTTTTCCTGTTGAGTTAGCTGGTATCTACAAACCCTGATGGAGAAGCCACCTACCCAAAAGCATCACGGTGCCTATCTCTTATTCGCAAAAATAAAATATGAGAAGGCCTGGAAATCCGGTTTTGTTTTCCTTACATCAAGACCTACGGTGCACTACATATCTATTGTCCCTCCTGCTCTCTGTCCTGAGTAACAAGCCTGCACCTTTCCCTGCCCCTAAAATGCACTTTCCAAGCAATTTCATTTAGCTGGGGGTAACAAATACTGTCACGTATCAGAACTGCAGCAACTGGCTCTGCATCCTGGGAAATCATGTGTGTGTGAAAACTTTTTCCTGCACAGACAAGGTCTGTTATATCCTTGCAATTACTGGCATTAATTGCAATGGATTAATACCTGTATTTCCAGGACGTTCTCAACATAAAGATTAGTCTTTTCTGTTTAATGGTTCTCTCCTTATAGCCCAGGTCCAGCAAGTGGACCACGGCATAGACAACGTTGAGCTAGATTTCTAAGTGCAGAGTAGGGACTCCCCATAGTAGCATGCAAGGTGCAAACCAGTCCAGGATCTTCACTGTGAAGATTAAGGCCTCTTGCAAAGTTTTTCTTTATGCAAAGAGAGATTTAATTTTCAGCAAGGAGAAATCAGCATAAGTCTCACAGGTTCATATTTTTCTCTTTATCCTGTATAAAATTAATACAGAAGTCTGCATTTAACAGTCCTGTGAGCGAATAGAGCTGGCACAGTGCTCAAGGGCTTGGCCCTACATCCTATGGAGGTTAATAAGTGACATGCCTCAGTGGAGCTGACTGCGTTCCTGTCCCCAAAATCACCTTGTGGGCAGGAGACGAGGGGAGATTAGAGGCTATATTCATTTTAAACCTGGATGCATTAATATGTCATCTGTTTTTCTTATGCTCTGGGCTTTTCTGAGCTCCAGGATAGCTAAGAGGATGTGAATCCGCAATGAAGGTCCCTTGGAGCAAGGCTTGGCAAAGATGTGCATATTTTTGCCCATCTTATCAGTACTTTTACCAAATAGATAGCGTTTTTCTTCCCTAAGTTTCCTGAACCACCGTGTGTCATTTACCATGTCAAATACCATGCTCCCTACCCTTTTGCGCAGCTGCAGGTAACTTAGAAAGGGCAAGAGGAAAAATACAGCTCCAAAAGGAGACAGCAGCTGTGGCCCCAGGCCTTTTATCTCCCGATGTTATCAAAAAGAGACAACACACCCGCCAAATTGTGGGACTCGATCTAGTGCAGCCCTTCGTGTTAGCACAGCTGGTATCTGAAAAGAGTCATCTTGCTGGGCAGCAGAGTGCTGGGTGCTCCTGCAGACAGTGGAGATCTGGCTGGGAGAGAGGTCTCACCTGCAGAGATCTAAATAAAAGGATGTTTTGCTGTCTCATCGCATGAGACCTGCTAATGATTATGCTCAGGAAAAGGTCAAGAGGAGAGGCAGAAATGGCTGAGTCAGTGAGTATTTGTGTGCAGCTGCTGTCCATGAGAGGAGTGGAATAATCAGAGCGTCTTTCCCTCCACCTCTGTGCAGATCCTCACTCAAGAGGACTGGAATGTGGTCCTCTACAATGGGATGGCCTCCACGTCCTCCTGGGCAGCGCTCTACTTTGTGGCCCTGATGACCTTCGGCAATTACGTGCTCTTCAACCTCCTCGTTGCCATCCTGGTAGAAGGCTTCCAAGCAGAGGTAAGAGGTCTGAGCAGAGGGAGGGAGAAAACAGAGAACCACGTGTAAGCATTAGTAGGAATCAGTCCATATCCATGCAAACTTCAGGGCATGCAGAGAGCCTGGAGTTTAACCTTGAGGGAGTACAGGTGAGCTGGGCAGAGCATGCAGGGCTCCGTCTTTGCAAATAAGACTCCCTAGACTGGGCATGGACTAGGGAGATAACCATTTGGTTCATCTGCTACCAAGTCGCTTGTTGTGACCATAAGAAAATTGTTTAGGACAGATTTGACTAGCCTCAATTCCACCTTTGTCCTGTGTTTTGGGTTTCCTTATGGTGAGCCTCAGGCTTTTGATGGGTCTCGCCAACAGGAGGGACCAGACAGGATGTAGATGGGCTGAACGGAGGCTTTTTCTTGCAACTGTCACCTATATATAATCTGAGGCTAGCTGCACGGCTGTTAGAAAAGCAGTGTTTCAAGGTTGCAAACATTAAATATTGAGATACCTGGGATGATCTGGAGCAAATAAATGCTAATCCTTAGCTACACTGAAAATAATGTCTGTATTGGGTCAACGAGCAGGGAATTTGCTAAAGTGCACGCATCTTATCTCACATGGAGAGGATTAGAGAAATGATAATATTTCTCAGGCAACAGTGATACCCAATGTGCTGATCTGAACTGAGCAGGAGCCTCAGCAGCTGTGCAGGCAGTCGCATGCCCTGGGATCATGAGCAGCACCCTTGGTGCAAACAGGGCCTTGCAGCCCCTTCAGCTCCCCTTTTCCTCAGCAATTTCACTCTCCCAATCCATTTTCAACATCCTGAGTGAAGGACATTATCCTCTGCCCTGTCCTCTTCTCCGTCATCCTTTCAGATCAGAGCAAATCCACTTGGGAGAGATTTAAAATGAGAACAGTGATCTTGTTTCATCTGTAAATATAAGGACGTGCATGCACATAGGTATTTTCAGAAAGGGAGAACCATTTCAAAACCCTAGGACAAATGGGAATGATTTTGAGAACTACATAAAATCATCCAGTCCCAGTTCAAGCTAAGAACGGGATTGAAAGGGTTTGCGCCACACTTTGGGATTTTTTAATTATTACTTTTTTATTTGTGCAACATGCAAGAAGAGAAAGTTAACTTAGCACTGAGTGGCACAGAGAGTCAGAAAGAAAATGAGAAAATGGCTTCAGTTTTCACCGCCTTAGCTCCCAAGGGGAATAAGAGAATAAAAATCTTTATTTTTTTTAGCTTTTCATTTTTTCTCCAGAAATGGCATCGTGCTTGTATTCGTTGTGTTTATAGCACAGTTAGACACACTGTCACTGACCATGGAATATAATTGAAATATTCATGGACCAACAATTCCCTTCTCTCAATCCAGCACAGTCGTATTTATGTCCTTCAAGGATTCATTATTAAAACATCCCTCCCAGCTTCCTCCTAGCACTAGCAGAGGAAAATTAATTGAAACAACAGGAGCCAAGCCCTAGTTTGGAGAAAACAGCCCTGTTGTACATGGCTCGGGGCTGTTTCATGGATGCTGAGGGCGATGGGTCCTACTTGCACACAAAGAGAGGACCCAAGTAGGCCAGCTCTGTGCTCTCAAAAACCACCTCTGCATTAGGGAGCATCCGGATGACTGTGCAGTGTGGACCATGCTCTGAAGATCCAGAACGTCTTCCTAAGAACAGCTAGAGGTCATTAAACAAGGCCAAGCCTGCACATCGTGTATCAGTGCCTTGAGGTTTAGTTCTGAACTCATGAAGTTGTTTTGTGTCACGGATCTCTGCATCCTGTGGTTCTGCTCAGGATCTACAGCACCTTCACCATGTTCCTGTGCTACTGAAACCTGTTGCGGACAGAGACGAACATTTTACTACTGTCTTTGAAAGAGCAAAGCCAAAGCCTTGTCCGTATTGCTCAAAGCCCTGCATTAATTGCTTTCTTCCAGCCTAGAAGGGGTTTCCTCTAGGAGAGCTGCCAAGTGTATTCAAAGTGCATGTGCTGGACCTCAGTCCTGCTAGAAAATGGCCTGCACAGGTTGTAGCAAATGTCTGGTGAAGTAGTAGATTTTCCTGAACTGAGTGGAGAAGCAACCAGTACAGCTGGCCCTGTGGCAGCCCAGAGAGGGAACTCTTCAGTGACCAGAATGGGTCTGATATCCTCAAACTCAGCCCAACAGGAAGGCTGGCTGGGAAAAGAGGACGTGTCAGGGAAACCCAAACAGGTGCTAACCAGCATGTGTGACCTGAATACCTGGAAACTGCTCCCCTTCCTCCTGATGCTGGTACAAGGTGCTGCTGATGCTCAAATCAAGAAGACGTTTGGGAATCTTGAGGACTTTTGTCCACTTGCTGGCCCTGTGGCTGGCTCTCCCTCTCTGGTGCATGGAGGCTTCTTTTTTAGCTTGAGCACTCACATTTCAGCACAGAGAGCCCTTGCACTGTCTCCTGGTGCTGTTACACATGCAGCCCCCGTGCCCCACATGCATCTTCTGTCATCACTCACTCAGAGAGAGGGGTTTTCTCTGCTCAACAGCCTGGCAGGTACCTTTGTATCCCCTTCCTTACTGCCCTCTGGGAGCTGGATCACGTGCTGATGTGATGCCAGAAAACAGGAGCCTGGTGCAGTATCCTGAGTACCTGGCTGCAAACCCAAGCGAATGGATGTTCTTTTCCTGCCCAGGCTTAATGGCTCCTTTCAGAGCTGTTACAAACCATGATTTAAATACGGAGCAGTTTTCAAAGCTTGTATTATTCACTCAGTGCTGCCTCAGAAAAAGCCAGCAGCCACAGGCATGACATTTGCAGGGCACATTTTGCTCTCCACTTCCATTTATTATAAATCTTGACATTAAGCCTGCGGGCTTGTCAGATGTCTCCTAGTGAGGTATCAGCCATGCTACAGAAAACCCTTTTCAGGGCTGTATTTCAGCTACATGGACTTGAATCAAGTCTTGCACTTATAAATGAATAGCTTAGCTCTAGTGGTAAACCGATGACTGTTGAAGTCTCCTTGGACAAGTCAGAAGAGGAAGTATCGGTAGAGCTGGGACTTTTTTCTTTTGTCATCCCTTGTTCTGCCAGCAGACATTGGGAACGTGTCAAATTCTTGTTTTGATCTCCATAGTCTTGTCCCCATTCAGGGTGACTCTCTAAGCAGTTGTGGAAGATGCTGATGTGCAGTTTTCCCTTCGCTCAAGTCTGTCTTGCCCTCGGATGGAGTGTGACTCCAGGTCGGACTGGGCAGAGTGCCAGAGCCCTGCTCCATCAGCAGTATTTCAACAAGAACACGGTAAAACCTTGTGCTGGGAATCACACAAAGATCTCAGCTTAATCTCTGCTTTGATTTGGCCGTGGAGCAAACTTGACTTATAACCTAGAAGGGAATAGGTATAATTGGCCACGAAGAACATGTTTAGTACAGATTATTCTTCCTTTATGCTTAGGACAACAATAAGCCAGACTTCAAACAGGACCAAAATGGCATATTTGTACTCAACGTTGCTCCCACGTCATTTTGAAATCTGCTCCAGAGCTGCTCTGGAAAAGCAGACAAACCTTCCAAAAATTATGCAAATCTCTCAGCTTCTCTCTGCTATTACTCCTGCTCCAAAACAGAGAAGACGAATAGGGAAACTTAAGCCTTTCAGTCATCTTTGGCTGCACCAGTTAGCAGTACATCACAGATGAAATTAAGCTCACTGCTGCTTTAGCACCGTGTCTCTAGGAGCCGTGGTGATTTGTTCGGGCATCTGCTAAAGAACTGTGCACCTTTTCCAGGATCAGCTGCTTTAATGCAACCGTTTGGTACCAGTTTGCACAGCTTTTCTGCAGTCTTGATGGATCAAGCTAGAGTCCTGCCGAGAGCCTGCTGGATTCCTTCCCTTCCGCTGACTCCACAGCGGAGGAGAACCCAACACTGGCTCTTCTCCTCTGCGCTCGTATATTATTTAGCTGTGTATTTTGGGAGCAGAGGCAAATATGTGTGAAAGGGAAAAATAACCACAGGAAGCACTGAAACAGGCATCCAGGAAGAGAGCTGGTCCCAGGGCTCTTGGTTGTTCTCTCTCCTGGGATGACCATCTTCTGCCTCAGCTTCTACATTGCCAAGAGATTTCCCAGTGCAGCCTCGATTAGCAGACAGCATGAGGGGAGCAAACCAGGCCTGGGTTTTCAGATCTAGTTTGAATTTATAGCACTGTCAAATAAAAGAGAAAAACCCTGCAATGTCTTTTGACATTAAAACCTAAGTGCTTTCAGCTGGGCTCATGGAGAGAACAAATATGGAACCCTGCAATGCCAGTTTTTCTTAGTCACTTCTCCAATTGCAGCTGCGCTTTCGTGTCCCCCCGCCCGGGACGTGCTGACACAAATGCCAGTTTTTCTTAGTCACTTCTCCGATTGCCGCTGCGCTTTCTTGTCCCCCCCGGGACGTGCTGACACGGTGTAGGAAACACAATGACAATTGCGG